GGCTGTATCACTGAACAACTGGGTGAGCTGGGTGGGAAAGAAGATGGCTGGAGGTCAGGCCCGAGAATCTGCCCTGAGGCCTCCCACATGAGGCCATCCATGGGGGCCAGCGCCCCAGATCTGACCCTACAGCCAAACCTGTTTCCATAGAATACTTCTCTCTACCAAACCCCAGACAAGTGAATCAACAAGTGGTCAACAAGTCCATTTCATTCTGGATTTTTAGGGGAACTTTCATTTTCTTTCTCCTCAACTTGTTGTCCGAATGCAGGCAGAACTGAGAAGAAATCATGAAGCCCAAGACCACTCTAGGTCAGGGCTAAGTCTTGCTCTAACTCTTGCTGAGTCAAACTGATAAATGCCTGGCTGGAAGGGAGGGAACAGAGAACAGAGAAATGCATTCTGCCTGTAGTTTAGAGAGATGCCTCTGTGTCATCACCCTGGGACCTCCAGGGGGTCACATCAAGTATAATTTGGAACATCAAGTGCCACGGCCGCTGTCACCCAGCCTAGGAATGATCTTGGAGGGAAAAGGTGCAGGATACTGGAGTGGAACAGTTAAGAGAGAGGAAGGGAGGCCTGACTGTCACCAAAGGAATGAAAAGACAGATAAACAAGGAGAGGGAGAGAGAGAGAGATCGCAGAGAGGGAGAGAGAGAGAAAACAGAGAAAGAGAGGGGGTGAGGGACAAAGAGAGAAAGAGAGAGAAGAGCCACAAAGAGTTACTGTGGGGGGGGGGGGGTGGAGCAGGGGAGGCAATTTCTCTCCGATCTCTCTTTTCCTGAGGAGTGTCTGAGTTCCCCAGCCCATCCCCTTATCACCACAGCCCCTCTGTCCTCGCCATTCTCTCCCTGCAGCTGCAGCTGTCAAGGTTTCTCTGTTCTCCCCACACCTGCCTCCTTGTCCTACCTCATCCCACCCTCCCCCACATTAGTCATCTCCCACTCCCCTACTCCTCCAGATTTCTAGGAATTCAGGAATAAGGCTACCTAGACTTGGCTCCGCTTCCCTAAGCAGGAGACCACGAAGGTCCCTCTGCCCTCCGGATGACACATTTCCTCCCTTCCACAGGCCTACTTCCCACCTCAGTGTCTTTTCCACTAAATGAGGAACCACACCCCCTAAAGAGGTACAGGGAGAGGTCCCTCTGCAAGATCTTTCTTGGGGTCCTGGATTTTAAATTTATATCACCATGCCCTGCCTAGCCTTTGGGGATCCTGAGTGGGTCAACTTGGGGGAAACTGAGGCACAGTCCGTGACTGAGCTAGGAATAAAGAGACAAAGTGCTGTCCAGGAAGCTTAGTGCAGTGAAAAGAGCTGAAGGCCAGAAAACCTAAGTTTAAGTCCCCATTCTGACACAACCAGATGTGACCCTTATCAAGTCATTTTGCTTGGGTTTCCTCATTTGCAAAATACAAGTACTTGCACTACCTGCTTCACCAAAGTCATCATAAAAAAATGACTTTGTGGCCCTTAAAGCACTCTACAAATATGAATTGTTTCTTTTTCTTTTTTTGATGAGGCAATTGGGGTTAAGTGACTCGCCCAGGGTCACACAGCTAATAAGTGTCATGTGTCTGTGAGGTCACATTTGAACTCAGGTCCTCCTGACTCCAAGGCTGGAGCTCTATCTATTGCGCCACCTAGCTGCCCCATATGAATTGTTTCTTGTTCCCTACTCTGGGCCTCTGAGTCCTTCTTAACCTACCCACCAGTTACATCAAAGGGAACACTCTCTTGTGGTGTCAAACAGGCCTGCAGCTCTCACTTTGGGCACTACAGCCTCCTCTCCCAAAGGAGGATCTGCCCCTTTCTCCACCCCAAACCATCGAGGTGACAGGTGGGAGGGTCACAGAGAATCATATTCCAACCAATGACCAAATGGTCTGCACATGAATAAGAGTTCCTAATCGATGGATTGGGTGACCATGTCCTTCTGTAGACACCCCTCCTATAATTCCCCCAGCCATTCACAGGTTCTCCCCTTTCCACTGAAGAAGAAAAAACCCTCTTGAATGTTAGAGATGTGCTTGTCATAACTCCTACCTGATCCAGAACCCCTTAACCCCCCAGCCTTCTCCACAGGGTGAGACTGACTAGGCCCAAACTCTATGGCTTCCCTCTGATTATCTGAATTATCCCAAGAATCAGCCAGCAATGACACGGCAAATACAACCTAGACCAGGACTTACTCTTAGAGTGTCAGAGCTGATAAAAGCTTCAGAACACAGATTGTAAAAGCAAAACACATAGCCTGTTAAGACCTGGAAGAAGCGCTTAAATCACAAAACAGAGCATGTCCGAACATAGAATACAGAATGTTGGAGCTATGTGGAACATAGAACATTAGAACATGGAATATTCTTGCTAGAGATTATCTATCCAAGCCATTTATTACCCAATCAACCTCACTAGCACTCCTGAATCTCAGAGTCGTGGGTTGATCATTTGGCACAATGCTTTCCGGTCTGGGGTTGGCCCTGGCCCCTTAGCTTTGCCTCTTGACCTCAAACTGGAGGTGGTAAGAGGCTATAAGCTGAGGAAGGAAACCCAGGAGAAGTCCAGGATCACAGAAATTAAAACTACTATAGACCTTAGATAATCTAGTGGCCAAACTCTTTCCCATTTTAAATATAAGGTAACTGAGGGCCAGAGAGGCTAAGGTTTGCCCAGGTTCACACAGGTAAGTATCAGGGTCAGAATTTTAGTTTTCTGATTCTAAATCTTATGCCCTTTGCTCTAGGACATGGCCTGGGTTCTATTCCTGACTGATTTGTCTTCTTGGTCCAGGGGGAGCCCTTGGTCATAGCCAATATATTTATGTATATGTTTATATATAGTCTACTTTTAATTAACATTTTTTGCATCAATATTCATTAACAAATATTGGTCATAGGATCAAGAGCCCAAAGGGACATTGGAAATCATCTATTTCAACCTCCTCGTTGTGCAGGTAAGGAAACTGAGGCCCAGAGAGGTTAAGCAACTTGCTCAAGGTCATACAAGAAGTAACCATCACAAGCAGTATTTTAACCCAGACCCCCACAACCACTCCAGGGGTTTTCTTTCTTTTCTTTCTTTCTTTCTTTCTTTCTTTCTTTCTTTCTTTCTTTCTTTCTTTCATTCTTTCTTCTTTTTTTTTTACCAGACCTGTGATTTCATTGTGTAAGATGTTCCTAGTGAGGAACTCGTTTTAATAATGCAGATCAGAATCTGCTCTCAGAGAGCTGTTTAAGTGAACTAAGGTTAAGTCAATTGCCTAAAGTCACACAGCCAGTATGTGTCCAAGGTAGAACTTGAATTTGGCCCAAGGCATATCCACTAAACCTTGCTGCCAACCCTTTTGGTGAAACTTCCATTGTACCATGCTGTGTTCCCAGTTCTCTCTTTCTGCTTTATCCTTCCCTGGTTCAGGGATTAGAGCCATTTTTGTCTCATAAAAGGAATTTAATAGTTCTTTCTTAATTATTGGGAATAATTTATGCAACATAGGTAATGGTTCTTTAAACATTTGATAGTATTTAACTATAAATCCATCTGGACCAGGGTTCCCACCTCCCTTTATCAATGCCTTTATGATTTGTTCAAGTTCACAATCTGGGCTTTTTTTTTTTATATTGGAAATTGGGAAGGACACTGAATTTTGAGTCTGGGGACTTTAGGTTCAAGTCCTGCCTTTGTCATATCTGTCTGACTGTGGAATAATCATTAAACCTTTCTGGACATCAATTTTGCAATCTCTAAAATGAGAGGTTTAGACTAGATGGTCTATAAGATCTCTCAAAGTTCCAAATTTCTTATCCTATGTTCCTTCTGCCCCTTTCCTTCCCCAAAAGTCTTTTGTAGTCTAAGGGAAGCAGATGAAATAATAAGAATCCCATTCTTTCCCCTACCAGAGTGGGACATCAAAGACACTACATTAGAGGGCTCTTCCATTTGATCTCAAATGTGGTCCTTGGTCTTAAACTTCTCTACACACTTAGCAGGTATACTGTTATCTCTGTTTATGTCTCATTTCCCTACTTGACTCCAAAAGGTCAGTCTTACATAAGCTTTGCATGTCCCTCAATACCTAGCATAGTGCTCTGCACACTTAATAATAGTAATAAATGTTTGTTGAATGAATGGATGAATGAATCTTGCTTGGTACCTCTTAAGCTTCCTTTCATGACCACCCCTTCTCCCTCCTTTTCCAAGCTCCTCCCCTTCACCGCTTTCCAAAAAGGCGCTCCTCCCCCAGCCCGCCCCTGGCCTCTTTAGTCTTATCGGTCCTGAAATCATTCCACCAGCACCTTATCCTTTTTCTCTGATGGCTTTCTCACTTTCTCATTTATTGAGCTCCAACTGTGCCGGAGCTTAGGACTAAGAGTTGGAGGAAAGAGGATAAGAAGGTAGTAATGTGAGGCGGGAGGGGGGGCAGGGGAAGAAGGGGAATAGAAATAAGAAAGAAGTGAAACCTGGTCTCTGCCCTGGAGGAACTTTCAATTTAGTAGAGCATATAAAACATACATGAAACAACATGACAGCTACCCAGCAGCTCATTCGCGATTGCTGTAGAATGTGCCTACGGTTGTAATCGTCCCCATCTCTGTCCCCCCTTGTTCCTCCTCTCCCCTGCTGCTACCTTCTCCCCCGACAGCACTTCATCGCTCCATGTCTCTACTGCGACTTGGAGCCTGGGGGACTGAGGGTAGGCACTAAAAAGCTAGGGAGATGAGAAGGATTCGGGAAAGGACTGGGCAAGGGAGTAAGGATTCCAAACCTTCTTCTTCTCCCCCAACCATATATGATTCCCCACCCCCACCCCTACCCCTCTCCTCCAGTGTTTCTCTACTCCCTGTCCCTCTCCCCCAGATTCCTCCAGTCCCAGCCACTTGCCTTCCAGTCTCTGTCTGCGCATCTAGCCTGGCTTCCCAATGCCCCTGTCTCCGACTCTTGCGCTCCACCGGACCCACGCAGGTCTCCTAAAGAGCTCCAGCCCTATCCCTCTTAGCACTCACCACCACAGCCCGCCGACGTGGGCGGGACAGAGCAAAAGCAGGACAAGTCCCAGTCGAGTCGGAGCTGGCCGTAGCATCTCGACGGCTGGGGTCTGGCTTTTGGGGAGGGGCGGGAGAGGTAGAAGCCGGAGGGCGAGCTGGTGAAGCTGGGGCGAGGGGATCCCGAGCTTTCACGGGGAGCACCGGAGCAGCCTGGCTGCAGCGGCTACAACTCCCAGCCCCATCCCGGGAGAGGAGGGAGAGGAGGGAGAGGCAGAGGCGGAGGGATGGGGCGAGCCAGAGCTTCTGCCTTCTCCAGAACTCCGAAGACGAAATCAGAGCCGGGGGCGGGGGTGGGAGGGGAGGGGGGCCGGGGCGGGGGCGGGAGGGGGGGGCAGGGGGAGGGTGGGGGGGGGGGGGCAGTTGCGACAGCACGGCGGCGGAGGTCTCCAGAGCCTTGCGCCCCGGGGCTTCGAGCGGGGGGGGGCGGGGAGCCGGGGTCTCTGGGCGGAGCTGGGGTGAATTCCCGGTCCAGTGGGGCAGGTCCCTCTTCCGCCACCCCAAGGGCTGGCTATCTCCTGGGTCCGCGAGCTGCCCT